CATAATAAATAAATCTTTAAAAAAAAAGATGGAGTGGGGGTTGTGTAACTACCCTAATTAAAAAGTGTGAAAGAGTCGGTTGGAGTGGCACATACTATGAGTTTGAAGCCGAAAAAGGGGGAGGAGGGCGAAGTTACAAAAGGAGATGACCCCCCAAACTGAAAAGGACTAGTTTTTTTTTTAATCTTTTAAAAATTATTATTTTTTTCTTTTTGTTCTTTGCAGACAGGGTCTTCGGTACCCGAGACTGGCCTTGAACTCCTTGTGTCAGGGAGGACATCTTTCCCCTCCTGTGTCCTAGGATTACAGGTCACCATCCTGGGTCCTCCTCCAGTGCCTCTTGCCTAGGAACAGAATAAAGAAGACTCCCTTCTTTCTTATTCCTTGACAAGCAGCTTCCGTTTACTGCTGGTTTCTCTCCGGGCCATTTATCGGCCCCCTCTTCAGCCTCCCCCACCTTGCACAATCTAGCTTTGTTTTCTTTACAGCCTTGGCTTGAAATCATGTGCTGTGTTGATTCTGTCTTCTTGCCCCTATCTCCGCCTCCCCAACTTTCAGGATAAAAGCTCCACTGGGCTCAGGACTTAGTCCTCCTCGCCACTGGAACAGAGCACAGAGATGCTGGGAGCTGACCGACATCCTTTGCTTATAAAAGAGGAAACTGTGGCTCACAACCTTCTGAAACACAGCAGGGAAAAGGGCGCTGCAGAGAGGGACGTGAACGGGCAGGGGCATCGTGGAAATGCCTGGCAATATCTCGGGAGCCTGGGTGGTCCTGGCCCCACGCAGAAGTCGCGGGGGCGAGAAATTGAATTAGCACTGCTTGGGGCGAAGAGCCAGAGCTGAAGAACCCGAGCCCCAGCAGGCAGGACCTCACAAGCTTTCTAGAACGCCCCAGGCTTTCCCACTTCCTCTCCCTGTATGCCTCACCATCAAGCAGGGTGTGAACAAAGCCAGCTTCTACCAGAACCTGGGGCGACTCACATTAGGCCTTTGAACTTTTGTGTCTTTCTCTGAGGGCCTCGCATTCTGTATTATTCTGTACTTTTCCTATGTATGAGTTTTCTTACTCGCTTGATTCTGTTGCTCTTCTCCTCTTTCAGATTGGACTTTTATTTTTTGTTGGAGAAGAGTGCTTCAAAGTGTTTCTCAGTATTTTCTTCTCTCTCGCTCTCGCTCTCTCGCTCTCTCAGTTTCCTAGGAGTTAGAGTTATTTTTTGGTTTTTCGAGACAAGGTTTCTCTGTGTAACAGCTCTGGTTGTCCCAGAACTCACTTTGTAAACCAGGTTGGCTTCAAACTCACAGAGATCAATCTGCCTCTGCCTCCTGAGTGCTAGGATTAAAGGCGTGCATCACCACTGCCTGGAAGATTTATTTTTTAAATTAAAAAAAAAACATATACACACAGAAACTGGAAAACCCTCGATGTCCACTTTATTTTAGAAGGTAGTGCAGGGCAATGACGGCACACACCTTTAGTCCCAGCACTCACGAGGCAGAGGCAGGTGTATCTCTGAGTTCAAGGCCAGCCTGGTCTACAGAGTGAGTTCCAGGACAGACAGAGCTACTTAAAGAAACCCTGTCTCAGAATAACAACAAAAAGTGAGGCCCCTTCTTCAAACATTAAGGAGCTCAAGCTGATGACTGTAAACACCAAGTCTGGATCCTGTGTGTTGCACAGCTTGTATACACCCATCTCCTTCACTCAGGGACGCCTGTGCCAGCTCACCTGGCAAACTCTCCAGGCTTGCATCCCTCTTTTGAGCTCAGGCAGGATGCTGTGTTCCTGGAACTCATCCCATACTTCCTGCTACCTCCAAGTCCAAATTCATTCGGGGATACCCCTCCACACTGCTCAGAAATGCACCTTTCTGACCCAGTGAAGGTTGGTTTGGCCTTCCTAGCCTTTGGGGAGCCCCACCTCCCACCTCATTGCTTAGAATGAACAAAGCACTCTCCTCCAGAGTCCCAGAGAGCCTCACCTCTTAGGACATACGCCTCTTTTGCCTCATGAATTATACTCTTGGGTTGAGGCTGTAGCACTTGGCAGAAAAGAGTATTCTTTAACAGGAAGCCTCAGGTGCAGTTCTCAGCAGTACTTACGCCAGATGTGAAGATGGACACATGAAATCAGGAGGATCAGAAGTTCAGGTCAGGGCTGCATCCGTGGTTAAAAGCATGGACTGCTCTTGCAGAGACGCCAATTCGGTCACCAATACCCATACTGGTCAACTTGCAACCACCGGTAACTGCAGCTCCAAGGGCTCTGATGCCTTCTGTCTCCTTAGGCATTCGTGCACACGTGCACAGACAGCTATACATGCATACTCAAATGTAAATAACAAATAAAGCCAGGCAGTGGTGGTGCACTCGGCAGAGGTAGGTGGACCTGTGACCAGCGTGGTCTACAGAGTGAGCTCAAGGACAGTCAAAGTACACAGAGAAATACTGCCTGGGGTGGGGAGTATTCCGGATTATCTTTCCTCTATTTAAAAAAGTATAGTTTTTATGTGTGTAGGTGCTTTCCCTATATGATTGTACATCGTGTGCATACAGTGCCCGTGGAGGCCAGAATGGGACATCGGATTCCTTGGACCTGGCGTTACAGGTGGTTTTGAGCCACCTTGTAGGTACTGGGACTAGAACCTGGGTCCTCTGGAAGAGCCAGCCAGGCTTCTTCTGCTGAGTCATCTCTTCAGCCCTATGTCCTCTTCATCCCCTGCCAGGCCCTGCCATCTGAAACAGCATTCACTAGTGTAGGCATGTCTTCATCCTCCCCCGAGTACACACATTGTCTTCCTCACATGTGAACTGCATTTGGCCCAAGGTCTGAATGGTGACTTAGCACTAGAGCCTCGAACTTGGCACTGACTTGACCTAGAGCCAGTGCCTATGAATAGCTCCGAGTCAAAACATTTCCCAAGCGCTCACCTCAAAACCAAACTAGTTAGTGGGGGAATCTGGTCACCTTTACTTCCATATTCTATCTCTCTGGCTCCCACCTCCTGGGGCTAGAGCCAGAGCAGTTTGAAGGAAAATGGAGGCTACCACCTGCTTTGGCAATGCTCACAGCCCAGTTGAAGAAACACCTGGTAGAGGCTGGGCAGTGGTGGTGCACGCCTTTTATTTCAGCACTTGGGAGGCAGAGGCAGGTGGATTTCTGTGAGTTTGAGGTCAGCCTGGTCCACAGAGCAAGTTCCAGGACAGGCTCTAAAGCTACGGACTAAACCCTGTCTTGAAAACCAAACCAAACCAAACAAACACCACCTGTCTCTACCAGGCATGGGGGGGCTCTGCAACGCTTTCTCTGAGAAGCAACATCCAAGTGCTATTCCATGTGGTACCTCGAACACTGAGCTCAACCAGGGGAACCCCAGCTACCTTCCCAGCCAAGTCTAGGACCTGCTCAAGCCCCCTCTTCTTTCATCCCCCAAAGGCTCCTTAAAGTACCATCTCCTCCCCATGTAAACTTGGTCTGGGTCGGGACAGACAAGAGGGAACTATCCAGAGAGCTAAGAGGTGCTGTTAAGATCACTGAAGTTGGAAGGTCCTAACAGGCTGTTATTTAAGTGACAGGCCAAGAGGAAGAAACACTGGGTGAACAGGGATCCAAGGAATAGAGTTGGAGATAGTGTGACGTTCTCTTTACATTTTCACATAGAACTGGCTGGTCCAGGGGTTCTTCAGAGGCACCAGGGATGGGCTTCTTCAGGAATTGTGACAGTGACTTCTATGACCAGCTGGCTCCAGAGCCACCCAGCCTGCTTGGGGACCAGGGAACTGGTTTGCCAAGCACGGATGAGCTAACAAGAGATCTGGTTCTGGGCTGCCCTCCCCCTTTACATATGGGCCTGGCCTTGGTTTCTGGCACCACTGCCAAGTTTTGGTACCGCCCACCCACCCCCGCTGGCTCTACTGGCCAGCCCAGGTCGTAATTGCTGGGTGGGGAAGCACACTGTGGAGTGGGTACACCAAAAGGTGGGCACGTGGGCACCTGGCCCGACTGGCTCCCGGCTCTGTTGAGGAAGTAACTCAGACTTTAGGCTAACACCTGACCTGTTAGGGGGAGAACTTCCGGACTACTAGCCCAGAGACTTGCATTTGCACGAACCTATGAAGTGGAAGTGGGTACCATGGTCTGTGGGGATTGGCTTGCCTAACCCACTTCTGCTTTCCCTTGGGTGAGGCCCAGAGCTCAGGTGTGGGTGAATATGTGTTTGTCTCAGCCACTCTAGGGAACTATCTGGGATGCAAGGTCTCCCTAGTGTTGCAAGTATAAAGGGAGGAACAGTTGGGAAGACATGGAGAGGATCAGGAAGCACTCCTTACTTCCCCCCAGGAGCTGGCTTTTAGGGACAGGGCCCCAAACACACCCCCTTGGCCACACCTACTACCCCAAGCCCATCTACACATACACCTGCCACTCACAGATCATAAACACAGCATCCCCACAACAGACAACTCACACCCAATCCTCCACCCTTGAAAAGGTGGGGCCCATCATTCAGGTGTCACAGCCCATAGCCGGTCATCTAAACTCTGGCACCTACTTGCTGGGTGTCAGAGGCGCACAGGCATGGGCTGATATCTAAAGTTCTGTGACAGGAGGCAAAAAACTGGGCAGGTAGATCTCTGTGAGTTCAAGGTCAGACTGGCAATATATTGAGTCCCAGGGCAATTAGTGCCACACATTGAGACCCTGTCTCAAAAATCAAAACAACATGGTCTACAAAGCAAATTCCAACACAGCCCCAGGACTGTTACACAGAAAAACCCTGCCCGGAAAAAACAAAAACAATAAAACAAAACAAAAACAAAAACGGCTATGATCTCCTCTGGACCAGGGAAGCACACTGAATTTGCCTTGTGTCTCCAAGACCAGAAAGACCCAATAGAACACTAGGCAGAAAAGTAAGTAGAAAGTAAGTCTGTAGCCACTATTTCCATGTTGTATCTGTAACAAGGTGAAGTCTCTCTCAATCTCTGAGTTCAAACCCGTTTGAGGGGGACGGGTGTCCTTTCACAGGGATCACCAAGACCATCGGAAAACACAGATACAATTCATAACAGTAGCAAAATTAGTTATGAAGCAGCAACAAAAATAATTTTATGGTTGGGGGTCACCACAACATGAGGAACTGTACTAAAGAATTGAGGAATTAGGAAGGCTGAGAACCACTGCTCTAGAGGAAGGGAGCCCAAAGTGGAGGTGCATGTCTATAATCCCTGCATTTGGGAGGCAGGGGCAGGAGTCTGAGTTCAAGGCCAGCTTGGGCTATATTGGGAGACACTGTCTAAAGCAAGGTAAAAGGAAAGCAGGCAGGCTAAGGTGTATGTAGCACGGGTCTAAAATTCCAGCACTTGGGCAGCAGAATCACTCAAGGCAAGCCTGGTGTACACAGGATTCCATGCTAAGTTTGGTCTATGCAGCAAAACCCTGATGAGGGATGGGAGGGAGGGAGGTAAGGAAGTAGGCAGAAGTATCAGCTGAATCAGTCACTAACCCAAGGGGAGCAAAGCCCTTAGGTGCAGGCCACAGCTAAGGTAGGGGTGGCTGAGGGTTTCAGAGGACCTGGGATCAGCTTTAGCTGGAAGCAGAGGTTTAAAAGGTCAGTTTTGAGCAGGTACAGAATGAGGGACTCCTTCCCCCAACACAAATCAGTTCTTCTGCATAAATCAAATACCCCACAGGCCTCTACTGCCTATGGAAATGACCCACAGTTCCTGCACCTGCCTCTGGCCCCTGGCCATGGAGGGAGGGGCACACCACAGCTGGAGGTGGCAGAGCCCACAGGAGCTTTTACATGTTACGGAGGAAGCTGCCTTGAGCCCACTCCAAACCCAGCGGCTGCCTGGGCGCCCAGGGTCTAGACATCCCACCAGAACACTTTGTGTTCTGCAAATGCTTCCGTCGACCAATCCTTTTGTTCCCCCTGTATTGTTTCTTCTCAAACATCTGATGGTGCTGAAGAAAGGGGCTGCAGCCCACACAGCAGCTAAGGACTGTGTGGTAGGGAAGCACGGAGTAACACTCCTCCATCCTCCAACACATACGATCAGAGACTGCACAGGGCACACTCTTCCCACGACCATGACCACGGTAAGAGCTGCAGCCTAGGCCCAAGGCCTGGAACACTGATCAACCAGGATCTTCTGGACTCAGGCCAAGGACAATGTTATCAACTGGGCCTCCTCATAAAAAATGTGCTTTTATTGTGGAGGAGGCTAGTCTTCCCACCCCGGCTCCTTCCATGGAGGACCTCAGACCAGGTCTCCAGCCACCCACCCTTGCTCCTGCCCTTCTGCATCCTGGGGCTGAGACTTCGATGGCTCCAACCTACTTTACTGGGCCACACCCACTGCAGGGAGCAGGGCTGGGCCCTGCCTGGGTCTGTTTCTCTGCCAGCAAGACTTTGCCATAGCTTCTAGAGCAGGTACCCTATCCTAGTCCATTGCCTGCAGGAGCCCTCCTCTGGGTGGGCCTCCCATCCCTGAACTGGCCTTTACAGATTCTGCCTCAGACCAGAGCAAGGGAGGCAAGGGAGGAGCCTGCCATCTCAGGCCATCTTCTGGCAGCATGCCAACTGTCAGCACACTTGGCCAGTGTCAGATTTTGGAGGACTCCAGCCGGGGACTCCAGGGTGTAGGGGGCTCCCGCAGCACTCGCAGCTCCTGTTCGAGTGCCTGGTTCCTCCGGTACATGTCCATGTAGCCCCCCTGGATTTCTCGCTGGTAGCGCAGCACCCTCTCCTTTTCCTCCTGCCAAGTCTGCCGCTCCTGCTCGAAGCGCAGCGCCTGCTCCTGGCCACGAAGCCGCTCTTGCAGCAGCTCCGCCCGCAGCTGCTCGGTGGCCCCTTCGCTGGCTTCACTGCCTCCTGCCTCTCCTAGCAGTCCCTGGCTCTTGCAGTCATCTGTCTCGCAGATGCCTGGAGCTTCCTCCCGAGGCGCTTGCTCTTGCAGGCTGCGCACTGCCTCCCGCAGCCGAGCCAGCTCAGCGTCCTGAGCCTGGGCTTGTGCCCTGCTGCCCCGAAGTTGCGTCTTCAGACTGAAGATCTCAGCCAGCTTCTGTGCCAGCTCTGCCTGGGCTTCCCGAAGCTGCTGTTTCAACAGGCTAATCTCCGCGGTCTTCTGGCACACCTGAGGGTAGGGACAAATCGTGAGCACAGTGTGACACTGGGGTCAGCTGCAGGGGAGAGGCAACAGGGTATAGGACCAAGGCAATGAGAACAGGCATCAGCCTATGATGTGTCCTACCTCCCATCGGGCTTCCTCCTCTGGCCGGGCATTAGGGTCAGCCTCCACTTGGGGACCAGAGGTCCGAGGCTCTGGTGCCAGGCCCTGTTGAGCCCGCAGCTCCTTGCGCAGGCGCCGCTGCTCCTGTTGGGCCATAAACAGCTGCAGCTGGAGGTTGCGCTCGCTGCGCTCAGCTTTCTGGGCCACCTCATGCAGCCGTTCCACGTACAGGCGCTTCAGTTCAGACAACCACAACCGCTGGCGCTCCTCTAGCACCTGCAGAGGGGGAGAGGAACTGGTTAGCGGTGGGCACAGCCTTGCTCAGATTTCCAGTTGGCCTGCCCTCTAAAAACAATGCTCACTTGTGCCCAAGGCCTGCCATTACTAATGTCTTATGCACCTAGGCCACAGAGCCCAGCGTCTCGGCCACAGGTACTTCAAACCCAAAGAGGCTCTCCACAGATAGTGTTACTAATACAAGGTCCTAAGCCTGGCGATGGTGGCGCACGCCTTTAATCCCAGCACTCGGGAGGCAGAGGCAGGCGGATCTCTGTGAGTTCGAGACCAGCCTGGTCTACAGAGCTAGTTTCAGGACAGGCTCCAAAGCCACAGAGAAACCCTGTCTCGGAAAACCAAAAAAAAAAAAAAAAAAAAAAAACTAATACAAGGTCCTCAGAGAGACTGCCTGGCTCCCTCCTACACAATTCCCAGGACCAAAGTCACAGGGCATCCCTGATGTGTAGTTGAGGGATAGCTAAGAGTAGAATTCTCTTTCTTTTCAGTGCTAATCTAACCTAGGGTCTCACACTCATTAGGCAAGCACACTACCCCTGCTAAGCTATAATCCCAGCCTACAAGTGTCTTTTTTTGTCTTCCTTTAAGAGCAATAGGAGCTGTGCAGTGGTGGCACACATCTTTAATCACAGCACTTGGGAGGCAGAGACAAGCGGATCTTTGTGAGTTCAAGGCCAGCCTGGTATACAAGAGCTAGTACCAGGACAGGCTCTAAAGCGATAGAGTAAACCATCTCGAAAAACAAACGAAAAAAATAAATAAATAAAAAGAAATAAAAAAAAAGAAAAACAAACGAAAAGAAAAGGCTGGTTAAAAGCGATGGAAGAAAGGGTGCCATCAGGGGCATAAACTCTGATCTCACTGCTCCAGTCCCATCCTCTGCTGCCTCTAACATACGGCTGCCCCCCAATATCACACTATGCTTAGGCCTTGTTCATGGTTTGTCCCCACCCCGAGCTGTGCCAGCTGTCAGAAGTTAATCTGGCCTATATCTCAATGCCAAGGAACAAACCAAGCCAGGGCAGGGGCTCCCTCACCTGAGTAAAGGGGTTAGAGACATCCTGGTCACTGAGGTCCCTCTTGAGTTCCTCACAGGTCTCAGGCAACACGGCTACCTCCTCACCAGTGGGACAGGAAAACTCATACGGGGGAGGTGGCTCAGGCAGGCAGCTCAGTACAGCCAGAGGTCCAGACTCCTTAGGGCTCCTTGAAGCACGGTCCAATGAGCCCCCAAGGTGATTAATGTGGCCCAAGGAGGAGCTGAAGGGGCTGGAGCCAGTGCCTGGACTACGGCCAAAACTCCCCCCACTGGAAGAGTCCGAAAGGCTGGGCTCAGGGCCACCTTCATCTAAGCTGAGGGCATGAAGCAACTGTGCACGGGCTTGACTGGCCCGAGGCCCAGGACTCAGAGGTGGGTGGCAGGCCAGCGTGTGCAGACTGCCATTGCTTCGCCACAACTTCTGCCCCTTGTGGGCTGCCAGGCTCTGCATGGACAGGAAGCCTTTCCCGGTGCCCACAGGAGACTTGAACACCGAAGGACGGATTCGGCACTGTCAGGAAGAGAATGCAGGCATGAGCTGAGTTGGCCACTCTTTTCTGCCTACCTGATGTCCCTCGGGATCCCCTCTGAGAATACAGGGCACACATCACAGGGAGGTCACAGGGAGGCAGTGATCGTGCTTTAGGCTGGCCCATATGGAACAGACTTCACACACCTCAGCCTGCCCTCGCCTACCGTCAGGGCCTCCTGGCTAACCACCCCAACATCATGGTCTCCAAGTCGGGCCCAATCCCCCGCAGCAGTGATGCACCTTGTCAAAGCGACCCCGCTCAGGCAGGGAAGTCTTGCTGAAGTCACCGGCCCGAGGATGCTCCCGGTAGTAGAGGGTGGCATAGTCCGGTTCATTCCGAGGTGCTCGCTTGCCGCTCTTGCCGTCCTTCTTGGGGAGATGCAGGTAGCTGAAGAGTTCGCGCTGGCCCAAGCCTTTCCGGAGGAGCCCGTCAGCCTGCCGGGAGCCCCGGGACCCAGCCAGAGCGGCACGAAGTTCTTCAGGGGAAAAGTCCTGCCGTTCCAACAGGCTGCCTACGCTGCCCATGGCAATGCCAGCAGGGCCTGAGGCCGTGGCCATGAAGGTTCAGCAGGGCACAGGCAGCTGATTCTGGGAATCAGAAGGCTCCATTAGTGGCAGATGGGCACTCAGTACCCAAGTCCCCAGATGCTCTAAAACCAGACACTTGCCATCTGTCGGTTCCCCAGGTTGCCCAGGCCCAGCAGAGCCAGATACGTGTGAATGGGACAGGACTTCCAGAATGGCCAAGGGAAAGGAACACTGAACACGGTGTCAGACTAAGTCGCTTCCACTGCGACACCTGAAGGAACAGCTCCAGACAGGGGTCTGGTGTGCAATGCAGAGGCAAGGCAGGAAAGGGGAGGCCCTAAAGCAGTAGGATGGGGCTCCCCTAGAACTGGGCCAGCAAAGGGTGGAGGGTGAACTCAGGCACTGTCTGACCCATGATTCTGCTTACTTCTGACAGGTTCTCCAACAAATTTGTGGTATGGGGAGCAAGCATAGTGAACCAGGGCTGGAGGAGGTTTGTTTCTCTGTCTTCTCAGGAGGGGAAGCCCCTCTTCTCTCAAAGGGTCAGAGGTCCCCACCCCCAGGAAACATCTGGGTGGGTGGGGTTTGGGGGAATACAGTGGGAGGGACACAAACAGGAAAGGCCCAAGGGGAGGAAGGATGGTGATACACACAGGAAGGGCCTAAGGGGAGGAACAATGGCTCCTGTTTCCGGAACAGGTGTTGAGGCCCAGGCAATGATGGGAGGCAGAGGGAAGAAGCAGCCATTCTCTGTAATGCCACTGGGTTCTGCTGTTAGCTATCACCAGCCAGGACCCCAGGACCTGGATGCTAGCAGCTATGACCTTAGCCATACCTAACCGCTGTGAGCCTTGTCTTCCTCGGGAGCAGAAAGGCAGTGACAGACAACATTTATCACTTAGGGATACTGAAAGGAAGGGGTAAGATAACTCGACCAGGCACCTAGTCCAGGCCTGGCCTGAAGCCACGGTCAACACAGAATACCCGTGGCAGAGCTTAGTCACCCGCTTCAGCTCCACACCAGGGGACCACGCTGATGGACTGTCTCTCACATGCTCTGGGGCCCGTGCCACACCCATCGCCTGGCATACGGTAAGTGCAAACAACTGGCAGGGAATGGCACCTTTTCTGCCTCCCACCCACCCACACACAGCTGCTCCCAATGCCAAGCAGATGCCTGGCAGGCAGGCTGCCACTGGGAGTACCCACCACCACCCACCCAATACACTTCCGGGACACCCACTCCCACCTCAAACAATGGTGGTTAGGAGGCTCCATCCTAAACCATTTCCAGGCTTTGTGTTTAGGGAAGACAGAGCTCTCTGGTAGAGGGAGGGTAGGCCTTGTCCCTACCCCCTACCCTATTCTATAGCCCTCAACTGCACCCTTGGCAAAAAAAAAAAAAAAAAAAAAAAAAAAAAGTCATAGCCTTCTGCCTTCTCCTGAATAACTTTCTTTTTTTTAAATATTTATTTATTATTTATTATGTATACAGTATTCTTTCTGTGTGTATGCTTGCAGGCCAGAAAAGGGCACCAGACCTCATTACAGATGGTTGTGAGCCACCATGTGGTTGCTGGGAATTGAACTCAAGACCTTTGGAAGAGCAGGCAATGTTCTTAACCACTGAGCCATCTCTCCAGCCCCCCGAATAACTTTCTTATACCACTCAAAGTGGGGTGCCAGCCTGAGTTTGGACCCCCCTGCCCAGGCGCACTGAACAGAGGGATATCACAAGCCATGTAAACTCAAGAGATTCAACCAGGTTACAGGATTACTGGAGCCGGGGCTATGACAGTAACATGGCGCTTTGTAGACTCTCAAGGAGACTATGGGTCCAGGAGCCCCTCCTTTTAAGAGGCAAGTTCTTGGAGACTCACAGAGCTAACCAGTATGAGGACGACACATGGGATCCCGATGCCAGGGCTGCCAAGTGTCTAGCAGGACTCAGGATGTCACCCACAACCAAAAGAACTAGGATGGGGTCACTTTGCCTCCTCATTCAACACTGCTTTGCCCCGACAAGCCTACCCATGAGACGTCACTGCGCGTGAGATGTTCTGCTGCTACTCAAGGAACACGACCATCTCCAGCTATGCCCCTCTCCCTCCCCGGGGACCCTCGATGCCTGCCTCTGCATCTTGCCTTCCTTACCGCTGTTGGGATAAATGACAGAGGGGCAACAGGGGTGAAAGGATTTTGTGAACGGTTAAGTCCCGTGTGCCCAGGAGTTGGGGACATTGCCAAACATGCCCACTTCACTCCAGACCCACATATCCTTCCTCTGTGCTGATACTCACTGCCACTCCCAGGAGAAAAAACTGACACTCCACGGCACCCGCCAAAGGGTTGTGGGTCCAGGGATGAACCAGCGTGGCCACACGCCACAACTACGTAAATGGCTTTATACAGAACACAGAAAGTATCGGTCCCACAGAGAAACGTGTGTTAGAGGACAGTCCAGCAGCGGACAGCACCCTTTGTACAGGTCACCCACCATCCACCCACCTAGACAAGGTCTCACGTGGTGCTGCAGTCTGCCCCATCAGTAGGGCTCTGAGGTCTCAGTCTGGAGACAAACCCCTTTCCTGAAAAACCCAACCTACCTCTGCCCCTCCCCCAACACGCACATTCCTTCCCCCGTTGCTTAGAAGCCTTGAGATTGCCTGCTCAGACCAGGGCAGCTGTGCAGGCTCCCTATGGCCTGTGATTTGGTTGGTGGGGGTGGAGAGAGCTGGCAAATGTCTCACAGCCTCTGGGGGACCAGAGCAGAAAGAGGGGGTGCCAGGGCTGTGCTGCCATAGTAGGCAGGGTAGTGCTGCCTTTTCGAGACAGGGTTTCTCTGTAGCTTTGGAGCCTGTCCTGGAACTTGCTCTGTAGAACAGGCTGGCCTCGAACTCACAGAGATCCATCTGTCTCTGCCTCCAGAGTGCTGGGATTAAAGGCACGCACCACCACCGCCAGGCTAGGGTACCTATCTTAAAGCCCAGGGGCTTCATTCCTGCCTCGCTCTGCCCCAAGGTTAGCCAGCAGTGCAGAAATCCCTAAATAGAAGTACACAGTGGGACACCCCAGCACCAGGCCCTGGGTACCTCTTCAAAACACACCCGGGAGATGAATGTGGTTATTTTTTGCTTCACAAGAGGAAACCCAAGGAGATGAAGAGGTAAAATGATGTGACCAAGGTCATGTTCAGCTGCATAGGAGGAAGTGCCCTGGCTTCCTAGGCGCAGCTTTCCCTGCATTTCCTTTGGCTTGGGGCACCTCAGCCTCGTGTGGTGAAGGAGTAAAGTCAGACTGAACTGCCATTATTAGTTAGTCCCACCAGAGTGCCCAGGGGAGGGTCACACCACCTGCTGGGGGGGGGAATCAGCCCTTCTGAGGGGTGTGTCTGCAGCTGCCCCAAAGGAATGAGCCTGGAATGTCCCAACTCCAAAAATGGGGACAGCCTGAGAGGGGGTGGGGGTGGCTGGCATACCCTGGCCCCTTGGCAGAATTATTGCAATTTGCTTAACGCACAGTGCTCCAGGGTTTCTCAGCTCTTGTATTTCATAATGTCACATCATCCCCACAGCAGTCGGTGGACACAGACAGGGCAGTAAGGATCCTATTTAGAAATAGGCTTGGACGGAGGAACAAGTCGCCTAAGATCCCACTCTGAGGGCCAATCTGGATTCCCACAGTAAAGCCCTCTATACTACACCCAGCTGTCCCAGCTAGGGGTCACCTTCCACCAGCACACACTGCTGTGGAGCCTGCCCAGCCCCCATGCTTGTTCCTCCCAAGGGCACTTATGGCTAGGCTGGGTGGGATGTAACTTCACCCCCTCCCAGGGATCTCTCCTAGCCCACCCTGGGGGAATAGGGTAGGAAGAAATAGTGGAAGTGGCGCTGGCTTAGGGACTCTAAGCTCTGGAAACTGCTAGAGGCGGTGTCGGGAGCTGGCTGGTCGCTTTCATTCACAGTCTCGCACATACACACCCACACGCAGCCAGTGGCAGAGGAGCCCTGCTTGGGAGAGCCTGGAAGGAGGCTGATCACCAGGTCCAGGAGGGCCTCCCGCCTCTGCTCCCTCCTAAGGATAGTCATGCCCAATCTGTATCTCCTAGGTGGAATGTCGCACGCCCCCATCTGAATTGAGCCAGGGTCCCGGTCCTCACTTTTGTGAAAGGCTGTGGTCAGAACTGGAACAGAGTCCCGGACCTTGGGACATCCCCTATCCGCAGGTCCCCAGCCAAGGACCAGACAAGGCAAGGGGCTGGGGAAGGAAGAGGATACCTTGTGGGAGAGGGCAGGTGAGCGGTGTCCCCGGGAAGGCGGCAGAGAAGACAGGTTGGCCGCCCCGGAGGAACTACGCCCGGGTAGGCAGTGGAGGAAGCGAGAAATCCCAGAACTGAGGGAAGGAGAGCTACCCAGGGGGGCGGGGTGGGGTGCGCACGTCCCGCCCGCAGTCGGCCGGGCTTGCCTGGAGCTGCTGCAGGGGGCGGAGGCCGAGGTCAGACTCCTGCGCCAAGGGCGCCTGCCCCTCCTAGCTGCGGCGCAGGGGTCTCGGGCAAAGCTCCACTGAAAGCCCTTTTACAGGTTAACCTCGTGAGCGGGAGCGGAGGACACCGGGACTAGCACTGCATCCTCTCACCCTTCCACCTTGCCCCGCGCCGGGGTCCCAGAGCGACCTCGGCGACCTGCCCAGCCCACTTACCATGCTGGCGCCGAGGATCTCAGGGCGCGCTGCAGTCCCTGACTCGGTCCCGAACCTTTCTCTTCGCACGCTCTTCGGGAAGGCGCGGGAGCCGGATCGGCAGGCAGAGGACGCGCCGGGCGACAGTCTTGTGTTGGCCCCAGAGGCGGAGGGAAAACCCGGCCTGACTCACCCGCCCGGCGCGAGCCCCAGAGCCCGGCCCGGCCCCCGGATGTGGGGGGCGGGCACCGGCGCCGCCCCCGAGCGACCTGAGCCCCGCCCCGGCTCACGGGTGCAGCGGGGCCAGGTCCCCCGGTGCGCGATCACCGGTCGCTTGCGTGCAGCAGCTCCGCAGACCCGGCTCCGGCCGAGGCTCCTGAGCCCGCGCCTCCCGGCTGCTCCTCCTCCTCCAGCTCCGAGCCTCGCCCGCCTCGCTCGCTCGATTTCCTTCCAGAACCAGCTTCCAAACTGGCGCGCTGGGGTGGGGCGGTCACGTCTGTGCTTCTGGCCGCCTCTTTCTCAGGTAAGTACCACTTTCCTCCTTTGAGACTAAACCCAAGTAGCAGCGGTCTGAGAGCCGAAGAGGTGTAGTCGGAGTCTCCAGTGGTTGGCAGCTGGACTGGGGGCAGGGCTTTTATTTTGGAGGGAGGTTAGTTTGTCTCCGATGCCTTCAGGGGCCAGACCGATAATGTAAATGAGTCACTTGGGCTGGGTAAGGCGGTAGCGGGACGGAAACCAAAGGCTGGACACCCAAACTCGTTCAAGTTCAGGAAGTTAGAACACCTCTTCTCCCTTGAAAAGTTAACACAGACGGGTGAGGGTGGAGATAATGCTCTGTGGTTTAGAGTATCAGAGGACTCGGGTTTGGTTCCCAGCACCCACGTGGTGGTTCACAGCCCTCTAACTCCAGTTAGTTCCCTGGGATCCAGTGCCCCACCTCTGGCCTCTCGGTGCACTACACGCACGTGGTCCACATTTAGTCATACACACACAGAGTAGCCCTGGCTGACCAGTCTGGCCTCCAACTCAGAGATCTGTTTGCTTCTGCCTCCCCGGCCATGTTTTCTTTTTAAGATTAAAAAAGGGGGGGGGGGGTGGCGGCTGGCGGCACACGCCCTTAATCCCAGCACGCGGAAGGCAGAGGCAGGTGGATGAATCTCAGTGAGTTTGAGGTCAGCTTGGTCTACCAAGTGAATTCCAGGACAGCAATGACTGTTACACAGAGAATTCGTGTCTTGGGGAGAAAAATAAGTTAAACATGGATTTAGGATACACCCAGCACTTCCATTCCTGGGTATATGGCAAAAAAACCTCAAATTGGGAATGCCAACAAGTATTTATAGTAGTCAAGAGGACAAAAAATTTCAAACCCAGGGCTGGAGAGATGGCTCAGCAGTTAAGAGCACTGTCTGCTCTTCCAGAGGACCTTGGTTCAATTCTCAGCACCTACATGGCAGCTCACAACTGCCAGTTCCAGGGTATCTGACACCTTCATACCAATGCACATACAATGAATTTAAATAAGTTGTTAAAAAAAATAGAAAAAAAACCCCTCCATCGATTAATGAAGGGATAGTGTGGTCCATCCGTAAAGCGGAATATTATTTACCATAGAAGAGGAATGAGTGCCATCCTGCTACATCACGGATAAACCTCTAAAAGGGGATGCTAAATCTAAGAAACCACCCACAAAGGCCATGTGGAGTGATTTCACGCATGTGAAGTAGGCAAGCCCTTATGGACAGACTGCAGACTGGTGCTAGATGCTGCAGGGAAGGAGAAATGAGGAGGATTCCTTACTCCTTACTCCTTGTGGTTGGTTCATCTTGGTGTCAGGCAGTGGTTGCGACACTTTCTGCTATTCCTTTTAAAATGTCTCAGAGGGGGGCTGGAGAGATGGCTCAGTGGTTAAGAGCATTGCCTGCTCTTCTAAAGGTCCTGAGTTCAATTCCCAGCAACCACATGGTGGCTCACAACCATCTGTAAAGAGGTCTGGCGCCCTCTTCTGGCCTTCAGGCATACAGACAGAATATTGTATACATCATAAATAAATAAATAAATATTTAAAAAAAAAAAAAAAAAAAAAAAAAATAAAAAAAAAATAAAATGTCTCAGAGGGCTGGGTGTGGCTCAGTGGTAGAGCTTGCCGGAGGTCCTGCGTCCAGTTCCCAGTACCCCAAATTCAAATGGAAATGCTGTATCATGCGACACTTACGTCATTCAAGCAACAAAATGTCATCAGTGGCTCAACAAGTCCCCATTTGCAGCCTGTGCTTTCTGTCTACTGTTGGCAGTTTCCCAACGAAGGAAATGCGGGGAAGAAAACTCGTTCACAGCTACTCGGTGTCTTGGCCATGGGGGGGCCGTGGGGGGCTGTCCAGGTGTGGGGGGTGTTACCTGAGACAGACGCTCGTGGCAAGGACACTCTTATCATCTTGGGGCACCGAGGAAAGGCCTCTCTGGGTGAGTAGCCAGGAAAGTGCACCCCTGGTGTTGAGGCCCAGGGCTGGAGAAATCTGGACATGTTTAGGCACAGGTGAGCTCTCTAGGGAGGCCAGAGCCCTGAAAAAGCCTCAAAGGCGGCACACAGGTGTGGACCCAGAAGCGCCTTACAGAGCGGAACTCGCAGCAGAACCTGTGCAAGCTTGTGTGCCGGGCAGGACTGTGCTGTACACACAAGCCTGCCTGCTGGTTGAAGCTGGGAAGCTAGGGTCGGAAATGTTCAAGAAATGGTTATAAAGAATTAGCAGGCAGTGTGGCACACGCCTTTAATCCTAGCATTTGGGAGGCAGAGGCAGGCAGATCTCTGTGAGTTCAAGGCCAGCCCTGCCTACAGAGCAAGTGCCAGGACAGGCTCTAAAGCTACACAGAGAAACCCTATCTCAGAAAAAAAAAAAAAAAAGTCTTATCAAGAACATTCTTAAGGCGAAAGAGTCAATGCTAAATTCCAGATTTTTTTTTTCCACATAGGGCAGCTGCCCTTGAACTCATTTTGTAGCAACAGAAGATGGATTTGAACTCCTGATCCTGCCGCTTTCCACATTATAAATACTGGGATTCTATGTTCTGTCAATACTTACTGGTTGTTATTGTTGTCTGCTCTGTATGCATTTTCGTGTAGGAGGAGATTGGAGGGCAACTTTGTGAAGTCAGTTCCTCTCTTCCTACCTTTGCATGGGTTCTGGTGTTCGAACTCAGGTCCTCAGACTTGTACAGCAAAAGCTTTGCCCCATCTGTAAGTGTTGATGGTGACTTGGGTTCAGTAAGACCCAAGTGCACCTTCCTCCCTCCCTTTTCCCTTTACTGGGCCCCTTTTATATTTACAAATGCAGTAACCTATTCAAGTTCTGCTGATTTCTTCCCCTATACCAGGCTAGCATTGGAGGAGCAGGATGGTGGTGGTGTCTCAGGCATCCCAGGAGGAAGGACTGGACCAGAGGCCCCACCCCTTGAGAGCCCAGAGGTGTTAAGAATGGGCATGGGAGGGGGCTGGAGAGATGGCTCAGCAGTTAAGAGCACTGGCTGCTCTTCCAGAGGTCCTGAGTTCAATTCCCAGCAACCACATGGTGACTCACAGCCATCTGTGGTGGGGTCTGGTGCCCTCTTCTGGCCCGCAGGCATACACACAGACAGAATATTGTATACATAATAAATAAATAAAAGAAAAAAAGAAAAAAAAAGAATGGGCATAGGAGAGGGGTGGAGGCTCCTGGCGGAACAGAACACTCAGAACTGGCTTCGGGTAAGGATCCTGGCTGGACTGTGGGACTTGGGGGCTAGAGCAGAGGACAGTCCCCTGAAGAGAGCTGTCATTTGGGGAAGCAAGAGGTCAGGAGCCGGATTCCTTGACCCCAACTTCTGCACCAGCTAGAGACTCCAGGCTGCTAAGACCATGCTCCAGCCTCTAGAGGGCTGGCCTGACAGATACTGCCCAGCTTTGAGCCCTTGCATGTTGTTACCCTGGTTACCTGCATGGGGAGTGGCAGCGCAGACGGGACCAGCTGACCCTGTAGGAAAGTAGGCTCAGTCACAATCCAGTCTCTCTTCTTCCCCTAACGCCCTTGTGCCTTCCTCTGTGTGTTTTCATGGCTAAAGAGGTCACTTCATTGAATTCTTGGATGTCCTTGGTTTAACTTTCTCTGATGGAAAACTTGGGTTCCAGACCGGGGGGGAGGGGGGGGTATATACATGATCTGCCTTCCCCCAAAGTACACCTCAGCGTTAGAAGCCCCAAAGGTTCTGTCTTTCTGAGGTTTTGGAGAGAAGGTAGGCTGGGCAGAGGCCATCAGGAGGTTAGGTCTCCTCCTCCCACCCTAGTCTTGCCTCATGTCTGAGAGACTAGTTTCCAGTAAGCAGTTGGCCCCGGGGAGGGGGGAGTACCCACTGAACTCTGGTCACCTCTTGGGTTCATCCCGTATAGGTGAGTCTCTTGTGCTCTCATTTGACAGACCTTGGATTTGGCATGCGAGCCATGCTATTCAAATGCCAAGGACTGAGGCACTCCTGGCACCAGGCCAGAGCTGAAGTGAAACCGAATTCCCTGGTGTACCTGTTTCCTGAATTGGCTAGCCTTGGACAACGTAACTTCTAAAATTATCTGCTGCCTGTAAGTGCCCGAGACAGTAGGATCCTAGGAGCACCCACGGGGAATAGGAGTTTATCATATCTCTGGCTGTCACTTTTCTCCTTGATGGTTGTGACAGTCTTTCTAGACTCTTCTTCACCCTGCCCCAGAGCAGCCCTAGTCCACACATTTGGTTTCCAGTTCTCTGTAGCCCAAAAGATAGAATCTCAGCCTCAAGATTGGTCCTGGCACACCACCATGACTCCCATCACCGTGTCCCGGGCACTGCCTCAGTCTCCTCCTCTGGAATTGACTGGTTTGGGTGTCACCCCACTGCCTTCAAGGTCTCTCTTCCCACCCTCAACAAAAAATTGATCCTGCTGTCTCCACGCTGAGCCTTTCCTTCTCTCAGTTGCCCCTTTACCGCGCACCTGGGTCACTTGTCATCCGGTCTTGTCACTCCCAGGAAATAGCAAGCCCTGAGCATACAGGGACTCGTGCCCAGTCGAGGTCTTGAGGCGTTTGGGAAATGCCATCTCAGCATGTTACACTGACTGCTGGCTTCTTTGAACAGAGCCTTTACCCAGTGAACAGGCTGGACAGCCTTGGTTTTCAGTTTCTGACTCGGGGTCTTGTTATCTAGCCCAGGTTGACTAGAACTCACAATCCTGTCTCCACCTCTGGAGCTGAGAGTCCAGATGTGCACGGCCGTGTCTGGCTTCTGTATCTAACGAGACAGCCTGTGTTCTTTTTTTTTTTTTTTTTTTTTTTTTATTTATTTTGTATACATACATTCTGCCTCCATGTATGCCTGCAGGCCAGAAGAGGGCACCAGACCTCATTACAGATGGTTGTGAGCCACCATGTGGTTGCTGGGAATTGAACTCAGGACCTCCGGAAGAGCAGCCACTGTTCTTAACCTCTGAGCCATCTCTCCAGCCCCTTTTTTTTTTTTTTTT